ATAAGATCTACAACTCGTAAGCAGCCGATCCTCAAAAATTTGTGTGATATTATTCCAGATTTTATGTTTTTAGCCATTGCTCCAGAGTTTTCAAATTACCGATTATATATTGCACATGATATGTTTATATGGAAACTAGACTTAAACGAAATGATTATCCCATCTCAGCCTGAACTTCTTGTCGATTATGTTCCTACAGAATTACGTCAATACACTTTACAACATATTTTCCAATCAACAAACGGTGACTTGATTACCATTGTGTCTCCAAACAAATATTTCTCAGCATCATTCCCTACCATTAAATTTCTTGATAATTTTTCAATTGATATACCCGATAGGGCTCGAATCAATGCTATTTTTCAATCAAACGCAGGACGGTCCTATACCTTTTATAATAATATGTCATATATAGAATTTTCTAACGATTTTACTGATGTGTTGAACAGAGGACGGATAAGAGACATATTTCCTGGGTTACCTGAAGATATTTCTCTCGCATTTCGATGGATTGATGATCATATTTACTTTTTCCGTCACGCAACTTACTATAAATTTAATGAATTTACAAGAAAAGTTGTTGCGACCGGACCATTTCATTGGACTCTATTTGGAGTACCATACCCCAGCGAGGATTTGTTACAACAACTAAAAACTCTGTTATCTAAACTTGTATCTGTATATCATTAAAAAATACATTTTTCTGAAAGCTATCTTTATTTCGTATTCAGCCTGTTGTCAAACAAAAAAAAAACATTCGGTTCCTTCGACTCCCCTCCCCCACCATCATTCTACTACATAAAGTCTGTGTATCAGCACTAGCAGTGCTACAGTATCAATCATTCAAACCAGTCACAAGCAATTGTTTTGTTCAAAAAGAGGTTGATATAAAAAAATGGTAAAACCAAAAATAACCAGCGAGGAGGCTAATTACGAGGCTTTTAGGGAAAAAATTAAAAAACAACCAGAACTGAACCGTGAAATACATAATTTGATTCTTGTCTGTCATGAACCAAATCAGTTGTCGAAGAATGATTTGAGTCGATTAGTATCAACATCTAAAGTACCCCCTGATAATTACAAGAATCACTTAAAACAATCATTCAATCTACCTGCACGACCAGAACACAGGGATATTGATTCAGACGATACTGTAGGCAACTGAAAATTTCATACACACACACACACACACCAATCAACCTTATTGTTATATATACTATATGTTTCAATAAAATATCCATTACACTATTTTCATTTTGAACGGTATCATCCTGTATAATAATAACAGTACATCGTATACAGGTTATGAGACATTCTGACCGACCGACCGACCAGAGGAGCCCACCACGCTATTTAGGTCACGCCTTGCTATATACGATTTAACGATATACCGTCGGTCCATCGATCCGCTATTTTTCGATGCACCCCTGTATACAGGTTCTAAATGCCCCCCGTAATCCACGCCAACACCAGACAGGTGCGACATCGGCGCCATCTATGCGCGAGATGCCCAACCCATCAATGATAGGTGTCCAATGACACATAGATTCCGTTTGGTTTGTACAGCGCCAGACAACAAATCGGCGCCATCTATGCGCGAGATGCCCAACCCGTGTCCAATGACACATAGATTCCGTTTGGTTTGTACAGCGCCATCTAGCGGCGGCATCACCAACTCGTCAATTTCACATACAGATTCCGTCCAACCCATCAATGGCGCGCGACGCCAGCGCCTCTGGTGGCCGATTTTAGAACTACTGAGATTCAATCCCCATAAGGACACTACTCACCTAGGTACAATACAGTATTTGTAAGTCGATGGTCTGACCTCTCTTTTACCAATTTTCACTGTCAATCGAGAATACGGAGTGGAGCAACGTTTCTAAATGGAGAGAGGTGTGCGCGGCTGGCGCATCGCTTTGTGACAGCAATTTTAGATGGTATCACGTGACGTCACTACTAACTCTCACGCTCCACCAAGATAATTAGCAAATAAGAAACTTCTGCCTTTTCTTAAGGTATTCAAAAACATTTTTTTATCAGTGCTGTATTTAACTTTAGTTCAAGTGTGCTTAACAAGAGGGAACTCCATTATTGTGTCGATGTTGAGTACAAACATTTTCAGGTGCGTGAGTGTGACATGCTACATTTTATTACAGTCTGATAACTTATTTGGATTTAGTCCCAAATGTTACTATTTCCACAAACAATTATTTTATTATTTGTTTTATCGATCCAATGCAACTGTAAACATGAATAAATAACACCTCAATGAGCATTGCAGAACGCTACATGAACTCCCACAAATTCAAATATTTACAAAAACGCAAATGGTTTATTTGCTTACAGGAAGGCAGAAGTGCGATTTATCTATTTTTTCAGAGAATTATATAGGTAATGAATGAAAAAATACGGTACTTCTCACATATTAGTGTCAATATTTGCATAACTAGCTTAACAGAATAGAATTTTGCAAATTGACCAAATACGACTCAAAGGCATCCATCCCTGGGTACATAATAGAATGTCTAACCGTTGTCTGATATCTGCACCTACAATAGATATTTACTATTTCCTGAGGTTGTAGGAAGTAGAAAAACTTTAAAAAACAAACTCTAGGGGTTTTTAGTTGATGTTCCTCATGAATTTTTGTACTTCGCTCAAAAGTAGTCAGCAACTGCGGAAACATAGGAAAATTTAGCTTTTTGAATCTGTTTTCTGCTTATTCATCTGCCTCCATTATTACTGGGATGCTAAAAGCTTCTGTAGGTACCGTTACAATTGAAGTAGTACTTCCGAACTATAGTAATGCGGACCTCACAGGTTTTTTGGAGAAATTATTTCCAGAACCTTTATTCTGACTCGATAGTCGTTCACATAGAGAACATGTTTGACACAATGGAACAATTGTCATTGCAACACTCAGTTGGTTATGCCGCTACATTTGTCCCTGGCAGCGGCATAACCAACCGTATACAACGCCGCTTTGTGCTTACCAGAAATCATCAGTAAGGAAATGGTTCGGTATCCAACTGATCGTTAGCCTATTTCTACACAAAAGTTAAGGAGACGTCTCCAATATTTACCTAGTTATTTATCAACAAAGGTTGCTAATCACGGATTTTACTGAATACGAGTTCAATTTTCAAGGGTTTATGGGGTAAGAAGTTATTGTTATAACTTTCACGGATATACGAACGGGAACAAAAAAAAAACAGAATCATTTTTGAAAAGCTATTTATTTTCAACTTTTTCACAAAGTAACGTTTTCTCCTTCAAAATACTGTCCACTACAACTAATACACCTGTCCCACCTGTGCTTCCACTGCTCGAAACATCTTTTGAAGTCTTCCTTAGAAATGTCCTCTTCAATGTCGTCAAAGCGACATCCTTTCATGCCTCTTTTCATCCGTGCAAATAAGAAAAAGTCGCAGGGGCTAGATCAGGCGAATAAGGTGCGTGAGGAAGTGGAACAATGCCATTTTTAGCCAGAAACATAGATATCTGTGTGCGCAGGTGCATTATCGTGGTGGAAGATTCAGTCTCCTGACTGCCACAGTTAGTGAGTTAATAATTTTAGATATTTTGAGAATAATGAATGTTAGGAAACTTTTGAAACTTAATATTGTAAATTTAGATTTTTGGACATTCGAAATGATCGTGCATGTGAGGAATGCCAATGTACCTCTTCTTCTTACCTGTATCATATTCAGACACGTTTTTTTTTTAGTTGAACGGAACCTTAATGCTGTATTCTACAAATTCGCAGGAAAATACCGATTGAAGTATGTATGCTTCACTTTGGTACGTGGGATGTACCGAATCAATCTACCTAACTATGTTTTACCTCCCGACACACAACGAGGAGGGATGCTTTAGCATGTGTATCTATCTGTAATGGATGAACCGAATTGAGTCCGTTTTTTCAATGGAAAGCCCTGGTGTGACGAAAATCAGTTTAGCTTTTTTTAGGTAATGGGGGTGAGCAGCCCAAAGTGAGCAAATATATCTGAATGGGGTGTCAGATGAAAGGGTTTAATTTGCAAATGACTGAATCGGAGATTCAATGAAAATGTAGGATATTTGGAACTTAGATCCATCATCCTGTGCGATTTTTAACCCCGATACAAAACTCTCAAAATGAGGAGCTTGCGTTTAAAACCGCATATATCCATTTTTATAAATTATTCAGGAGAAGGAAAAAACTTCTGATGCATTCGCCTTTATATTTATGTGGAGCAAGAAATATATATCCTGTGTATATTAACGCATTGATCCGATCTAGTACAATATTTTCATGATTATGTTTAGGAGTCTTTAGGAAAAAATAAAACAATTTGGATATAGGTGGTTTTGTTTCAAAACAGGTGAAATTTGAGGAATAAAAATTAGAAAACTGAAGAAAAAAGACGTATTTTATTGAATTGTAAAGCTTAAAAACGAGTTGCTTGTTTCTCATTGAGGCAGTCCCATACTACCCCTTCATCCTCGATTACATCGCCATCGCTAGTGGAAGCCTGACTTCTACCATTCCAAATCCTTTCTCGATTCCCATTCTGAACCAAAGAGTTCTTGTAAGAGATGCTTTAAAATTTTTTCTTTTTGTCAGGTAAACAGTTTCTTGATCGAATCGCATTAAGCAATATGTTGTAGACGGATTTTCCTTTTTTCATTTTGAATCAATACTTTAGTTTTTCTAATGAATATTCTTTTCATGTTTGAAATACCAGGCATTTTTTTTAATATCCTTTCAAGGTCTTTAATATCAATTACTTTCCAGTCCGTTCCTATAACTTTTAATTTCCCAACTTTACTGTCAAACTCAATAGCAGCACAATCTGTAAACATAGTCTATCCCGTTTAATAACAGTGTTTTGTGATTTGTGAGTGGTTATCCGCATGTGAAAATAGTGGAGTGAGTTTAAAATGCATGAGTAAACTAGGTTATTTCATTGTGTGCAGTTATTATGCACGAAAATTGATTGACAATATCCTAAATAATGGAAAATTCATGTGGTCACTGCCATCTGGCGTTTAGCCGTCTGAAACCCAGCATTTCTTGTGATGGTTTTTGCCAGCATAGCTACCACATTTCCTGTGTTGGAGTCGTGACTGAGGTTCTAAAAGTGATTAAAACGCCTGGACTTTTTTGGTACTGTGTGGAATGTACTGAACGCAAAAAGAATTATGAAGAATGGTATAAAACTAATTTTGAAGAAAGGGTCAACAAACTGGTTACTAATGTATTTGATTTATTTTCTGAGGCACAATCTAAGTTAATGGTTAAAGTTGAAGAAAAACTGGAATCTAGTGTTGATTGTCGTGTCGCGTCTGGGCAGTCACTTAGTTATGCAAACGCTGTGAAAAATAATATTGTCAATGTCTTGGTGAAACCAAAAAATGCAGGTCAATCTAACACTGAAACCAAACTGAAAATACATCAGGCTGTTAATCCAGTCGACAGCAGCATCAGATTTTCACAAGTGAAGCATGTCAAAGATGGTGGTTTGTTAATAAAGTGTAACAGTTTTACTGATGCTGAAAAACTCATGAGTTTAGCGTCCCAGCATCTCTCAGATGAATATGAAGTAAGGGAGATCAAGAGGAACAACCCTAGATTAAAAATCGTTGGCATTTCTGAAAGCATGTCGCTAGACGAATTGCACTCTAATTTGATTACATTGTACTTAAGAACTCCAGTGAATGTAAAGTGTTAAAACTATGGCCTACTAAGAAATCACCCGGAGTTTTTCAAGCTATAGTTGATGTTGATAACACTACGTATTTAAAGTTATTGGAACGGGGACACGTTCTTGTAAATTTTGATAGTTGTAAAGTATATGATGCTGTTGATTTAAAAGTTTGTTTTAAATGTTGTGGTTTAAACCATTATGCAAAATTTTGTAAAAGTGATAGGCAAGTATGTGTAAAGTGTTCTCAACCTCATATGATCTCTGAATGCTCGGAACAGGTATTGAAGTGTAACAACTGTGTCAATGCTAGATATCCTGATGTACATCATGCTGCGTGGGACTCCAGTAAATGTAAGTTTTATAAGGATAAACTAATAGAGTATAAGAAAATTTTGCTTGGTAATGAGTAGCAATCACTGCTGTACTCGGACATCTCAAATGTAGCTCCTAAAATCGTCACGGATAAACCCAACATTGCCCAGAATTCTCATGCCTTAAGTATATATTATCAGAATGTGAGAGGTCTCAGGACTAAAACTGTTACACTTCTTAATGCTTCCTATTCTTGTGCGTATGATATCATTGCACTATCTGAAACTTGGGCTAATGCCTCTATACGTGACTCTGAACTAGTAGGAGAAAACTACACCTTATTCAGATCAGACAGGAATTATGATGCACTGGGCGTTAACAGAGGCGGAGGTGTACTAGTAGCAGTTCATAATTCATTCAAAGTCAGTAAAATCGACTTGATACGCAGTGTATCATCTGTCGATATTGTTACTATTAATATTGACAGATTGGGGCGTACCGCTACTATCATACTCTTATATATTCCTCCAAATCTGTCTGCAGACATTTGTGAGTCAGTTTTTGGTGATATTCTGGCAGTTGATTATTTTAATTCTGATAATGAATTAGTCCTCTTAGGTGATTTTAATATACCAAGTTATGTTGACTATATGGACAACAACCTTGTCCGAAATGAACATAATCGTGTCTTAGATTTGGTATTCAGTAGAAACGATATAGAGGTAAATAAAGCACTTGACATCTTGTTGCCCATTGACAGTAACCATCCGCCTTTGGAACTAATTCTCTCATTTCATACCTCTTCCTGTAGATTTGAGGTTAATAATATCCCTTCCTATAATTTTAAAAAATGTAATATTCTTGCTTTGTACAATGATATCTTTAATGCAGATTTTTCGTCCCTTTATGGACTAAAAGAGGTTGATCTTGCTTGTGACAGTTTTTACCAAATTCTGCACTTTCTGTTTGATATTCATGTACCTGTAACAACGCCGAGAGATATCAATTATCCTCCCTGGTTTTCCCGCTCAATAATTGCCAAGATTGAAAGAAAACGGAGATTATGGAAGCGTTGTAAACGAACATGCAATCCACATGATATTGATGCATTCAAAGAGCTTCGAAGGAGTATCAAGATTGAGCTGGATCGTGCATTTCATAGATATACTTCCAATGCTGAACATAATATTTCTAACAATCCAAATAGTTTCTGGTCATATGTTAACAGAGCTAGAAATGTCACCGGTGTACCTAGTCATATGGTTTTGGATGACGTTGCTCTGAATTCACCACCTGATATTGTCAATGCTTTCGCTAAATTCTTTCAGTCTAATTTCATAACCTCTGGCAGGAGTGACACTGTCTCTGGTGTGTCTTGTAATGGTCAGTTATGCGACTTACCTAAAATCACAGTAGATCAGGTCAACCATGCTTTATCTAAACTTAGATCCAAATGCTCTACTGGTCCGGATTCAATACCTTCTTTTTTACTTAAAGATTGTTGTCATGTGCTCGCTGAGCCTCTCACTTTTCTATTTAATTTATCTTTGGAACAGAGATGTTATCCTAAGGTTTGGAAAAAATCTCGCATTTCTCCTGTGTTCAAAAAAGGTGACCGAAATAAGATTGAAAACTATAGAGCTATTGTGATCCTAAGTAATATTGCTAAAGTATTTGAATCTGTTGTTCACGAAATCATATTCACTCATGTGAAACACATCATCACTCCACATCAGCATGGCTTTTTTCCTGGTAGATTGACTACATCTAATCTTGCATGTTTCAAACAGCATGCTGCTGAAATTTTAGATACTTGCGGACAGATTGACGTTATCTATACGGATTTCTCAAAAGCATTTGACAGACTTGACCATGGAGTACTAACACAGAAGCTTTTAAAATGTGGTATATCACTTTTATTCGCAAATTTCCTCAGATCTTATCTGTTGGACAGAATACTTTTCGTTGAGTACCGTGGTTTTAGGTCTGTCAGTATTTCTGCGACATCTGGGGTGCCCCAGGGCGCCGTCCTGGGTCCGCTATTATTCGCTATATTTGTGAATGATCTCAGTGGCCAACTAAATTGTTGCAACTTATTGTACGCAGACGACTTGAAATTATTTTCTAGAATTGACACAATTGTCGATTGTATGAAGCTTCAGGATGAACTAGTACGTCTGTATGAGTGGTGTTGCCTGAATCAGCTGTATCTGAATATTACAAAATGCCAGACTATGTCTTTCACACGTAAGCGGAATATAATCGGTTATGCTTATCACATAAATGGTCAAGTCTTGGGTAGTTGTTCCATTGTGAGGGATCTAGGTGTTTCTTTCGACCCACAGTTAACTTTTGTGCAACACATTACTGAAATTGTAACCGGTGCGCACAAGACGATGGGTTTCATACTTAAGTGTGACAAGAGCTTCAATAATGCTAAAACTCTTTTATTGTTATTCAATGCGTTTGTTAGATGTAAGCTCGAATACTGTAGTATAATTTGGTACCCTGCATATGATGTACATTCGGACAGCATTGAAAAGATCCAGCGACGTTTTGCTAAATATTTATGGTTCAAGGAAGATGGGATTTATCCTGAGGCTGGATTTCGCAATGACTTATTGCTCAGTAGATTTAATATGGTAAATTTATCTAAGCGCAGAAATTACTGCGTTGTGGTTTTCTTATATAAAATTTTGAACAACACAGTTGATTGCCAGTTTCTTTAAGAAAAGCTGTCATTACACGTACCGTACCGAAACATAAGGTTTAACAATACCAATTTCTATTTACCTGTGCCTCGTACCAGTGTGTTACTTTTTTCGCCATTATATGTAATGTGTAACAACTATGAAAAAGTAAAGAATTTAGTGGACATTTTTCATTGCACTATATCACTTTTAAAAAGGTCGTTTTTGACTGTAGGTTAAGAACTTATTTAGATGTAATGTGTGTAATGTACTTGATACGTGTTTATTGATTTTTTTTTCTTTTTTTTTTGTATTTTGTATATTTCCTGTTCGTTAAATGGAATCATCTGTTCGAGCAGTGTACTAACCGCAAAATAAATAAATAAATAAATAAATAAATATACTTTTCATCAGAAATCATCACTGGATTCTTTTCAAATAATTTTTCAACTCTACCAAAACAACGATCAGCTGTCATGAAGCTGTGTCCACGAACGGAGAAAGTAGCAGACATTTCACGTACATTATTAGGGGATTTATGCTTAAGCCAAAACGTTAATGCATGAATTATATTATATTCTTGTTCTGTCCGTCACAGAAAAGTCTAATATTTGTGATTCCTTTGCAGTCTTTGGAGTCAAGTTGGTGCAGCAGCGCTACGCCGACTTCAGTTGAGCCGCGTCCAGCAGTATCTTCTGTCCATACATTGAATGTAGGGTTGCGAGATGACAGTTCTACACAACAGTGTCGTGTGTTTCATTCCCTCTTCAATACCTTTGATCACAAAATCAGATATAGGCGGTTTTGATGCAAAACCACAACTTTGCATGTAAGTTAAACACACAAAATACAGCGGAATCCACTTATAATGAACTTGCTTATAATTATATATAATAACATGTAAAATACTCGAATATTATAGACTCGCTTAAAATAGACCCTCGCAGATTCTAGCTGATGCAATCGCTTACGGCGGTTTGGTCACCAGCAGTTTACTGTATTTATTAGAGTTATAAACATGTCGAAAAGTGTGAGAAAGGGATTCACTTTACACGAAAAGTTCACAATAATTAGTGAGCTTGAGCAGGGTTCATCTCAAGCAAATATATGTGCTCGTATGGCTATAAAAAGATCCACTGTGTCAAATATTTGGAAAAATCGTGACCAAATTAAAAATGACTGGAAATCAAATAGTCAAAAGAAAAAAATGCGTCTATTGCTGCATCCCCAAGTCGATGATATGCTGTTCAAATGGTTTCAACAAAAGCGTGCTAATAATTTTCCAATAAGTGGACCTATGCTACAAATAAAGGCTGAGGAATTTGGGAACTTGATTGAAGATTACTTCAAATGTAGTTCCAGTTGGCTAGACATGTTTAAGAAAAGAATTAACATTGTTTTTGGAAAGATGTGTGGTGAGTCAGCTTCATTTGACAAGAACGTTACCAATGACTGGATTTCTCAAGTTTGGCCCGTAATATCCAGTGATTATTCAGATGATAGCATATTCCATGCAGATGAAACCGGAATATTTTATAGAATGCTACCAGATAAAACTCAAAAATTAAAAGGTGAAACTTGCAATGGAGGGAAACTATCAAAAGAGCGAACAACTGTAATGATTTGTGCTAATGCTTCTGGTACTAGAAAACGGAAATTATTGATAATAGGTAAGTGAATGGATAGAAATTCATGTTCTAATTTTTTTGATATTCAATGGCAGTCCTGCAAAAATTTTTGACATTTTTTTATTTCAGGGAAATTTAAGAATCCCAGGTGTTTCAAGAATGTTAAAACAATTCCCGTAGATAATGTTAGAAATTTTTGAAGAATATTTAAAAAAGTTGGACGCTGAACTTGATAACAATAATCGTAAAATTTTGCTCTTGTTTGACAACTGCCCCGCTCATCCAAATATTTCACTTAATAACATCAGCCTTCCATTTTTTCCACCCAATGTCACATCATTTCTGCAATCAATTGGCCAGAGTGCCATTTGGAGTTTCAAACAAATGTATCGGA